TTACTTTTGGAAATTAGCAACTGTTCTTTTCTTAGACAGCAGCAAGTGTACTTCTTTATATTATTTCTCTACCCATGGAGGTACATTACATGTATCTCATTATGTGGCTTGTTGAGTTAATAAAAATGAATGCCTTCATTTGTCTTTGTTGTCTGGCTTTTTGCTGGACTTAATTTAACCTTGTGCCAAAATGAATGGTGCAAAAGCATTACATGATGGTTCAGATGTCGTTTTTTAGGCAAGATATAAAATGCTGCACATTCTGGCACTTTGTTTTTGTGAAGTACTGATGGACAAAGGTGAGCTTGTATCCGAAATCTCATTGCTCATGCTTTCACGAACATCACCACTGAATTTCTGTCTCATTAACGTACTTTTTAGACACTTGTGCATTGATAAGCTACTCTGCTAATTTACTCTTTCCATGTCTTTCAAGTATCTAATGGTTTTGGCATTTTGTGCTCCACAATAGTTTACATGCTATTTACTTTACATGTTTACTTTGCTAATTTGCATTACATAGGATATAGGATAGAGAGATCAACGTTTACCTATTCAGAATGGTTTTGGCATTTTGTGCTTCACAATAAACGAATGAGATCCAGTCTTGATTAGCTTCTCTGATTTCTCAAATTAGATAAGAAATCACATCAAAATGTTAGAAAGTAGGAAACGCAAGTGTTAGCATGTTGCTAGGTGCTTTCAGAGTGATTACAATATCCTTCTACTTTCCTTTTTTATTTCTCCAAATTTATGCATTTGCCTCTTAGAAGAATGAACTATGCTGAAACAAGGCAGTATTCACTGCTATTTAAAATGGAATGAGATACTTATTTCTGATCAAGTTTTGATGATGCGACATGACTTTGAGATATAATTTTTTGTGATTGAATAGGTAAAGTTTGAATGCTAATAACAATTACTAAAGGCTAGCTTCAAACTGCTCATATGTTAAGTCGATAACGAGTTTGAAAACTGTATGGATTCTGGGAGGCAGCTGTGGATGTGCATGTGTTTGAGTTGTCTGTGCACATGTACATGTACTTCGCCAAGTTTTTTGTGTAAAGTCCAAGCCGGATGGTCATTGCTGAGGAACTGTTGGCATCTGTTTTTTAGCAAACCCCCCCAATATTCGCGGTTTGATAATGATATGGTCGTGATAATTGCATGAAGAAATAGAAGGATGCATTGATTGATACCCACTAATTTGGAGCTAACATTGGTTCGGTTTTTCTTTTGGTTTTTTTTGTTTTGTTTTGACATGGCTATGGGTTTGTTTTCTTTCACTTGAGTTTGTGGATTCTTTATCAGGGTTGTAAGTAAGCATTGAAGTAGTGGAACATTTGACATGATATACATGCCAAGATTTCCGATTGAAACCTGATCTTTAGGTGTTCATGGTCGGAAACTAAAGGTGATAGAGACAGTACTGCAAACACAAAAACTATCTAATAGGCAGTGTTTGGTATGCTGGACAAAGATGACCATAGGATAATTTTTTTTTTTTTTGTGAAGTTGTTTGGTGTATTTTTTGACAGTATAAAAATTAATTTTTGTTCTATTCAAGGCTTGTTCTAGTGGAGAAATATTTTAATGTTGGTGAAGCTTGTTTGATTATCTGTAAAAGAGTTAATTTATATTGATTTGGATCAATATAAAAATAAAAATAATTATTATAATAATTTTAAAATATAAGGGATATTTCTGGGCAAAGTGCAAGTGTCTTAAGTCACAAGCTGGCTGGGAGGATCAACTTAAAGAATAAAAATTATTATTTTTATAATTTTAAAATCTAACTAGAGAGTCAATTTGGGGGCAAAACTCAATTTACATGCTGAGAAAATTAATTTAAATTTCCTCTATGGTAAGCTGGGAAGGAAGTGTCTGAGTCCCCTTAGAGGGTATCAGGCCTGGGCACAAGTCAGCCTCTCCCACCTGGTCGCCTTGATATAGAAGGTAGCTCTTTCCAGGGCCATGTTTGAAGCTGGCATGGTTAGGATTCTTGACGAGGAGTGAGAGATTGAGGGTGACGTTAAGTTGGATACTAACAGGAGAGAATGAAATGCGAGGAGAAATGCCTTCGAGGGTAGCCGATACGAGCTCGGTTCTGGGCTCTTTAGGCTTGAAAACTGTCAGGGCAAGGATGAGAACAATAATGAATAGCAGCAGCAGCAAGAGGAGAACTACCCCACCAACAATGAAACACCTTCTTCTCCTGGCCTTGGGATCATGTCCTCGGTCATTAGTTTCTATCATTGATGCCTGAAGGGTTTGGCTAGTTGTTTGAGATTTTCAAAGATAGCAAGGGAATCCGGAGAGCTGTACAGAGCACAGACAGGGCAGGTGAGGAGGAGGTATAAATGCAGGGATGTGCCAGATATCTAACCTAATTAATTCTGTTTGATTGAAGATTTGCACAGGGTGTTGGGGGTTGGGCTTTTATTAATTTTCGCCATCACGCTCTCTTCTCTCTCATAGCCTCAAAGAACGCTTATGAGAGCAAGCAAGGGGAGAGGCTAAGATGAAATCTCATGAGGGAAGAAGAAAGAATAAACAAGAGCCTACCCAGTTAGACTATTTAGTGGCTGCGGCTGCGTTTCACTTGAAACGCAGTTTCTATATATTTAGTTAAGAAAAAAAGGATTTACTATTTACAGGGCTCACCTTTTACTATGTTTGGAACGCAAGGACGATCGAAGTAGCTTGAAATTGCTTTGTTGCAATTGTGTTACAACATAGTAAACAATTGCACGCCTTACAACAAAGGAATAACCAGCCCTTTTCCTTCTCCTTCTCCTCCTTCTCCTTCTTTGAAGCAGCTTGGAGCTGCTTTTGTTGCAACTGTGTTACAACACAGTAACAATGACATGTCTTGCAGTAGAGGAATAACTAACCTTCCCCCTCCTTCTTCTTCTTCTTTTTTCTTCTGCATCATGTTTTCACTGTTCTGCAACGTGAACACTGGAGACTCCATTATTCACATTAAAGAACAGTGGAGCGCAGCTCCCTCAGCATTGCCCAGGCCTACCGTCCCTTCTTCTTCTCTTTTTCCTTCTCCTTTCTTTTGCATCATGTCTCCACTGTTTATATTGAAGAACAGTGAAGCGCAGCTCCTTCACCACCGTCCAGGGCCGCCGCCCCTTACCTTTTCCTTTTCCCTTCTCCTTCTTCTTCTTCTTCTTCTTTTTCTTCTTCCTGTTTTGCACTTCTCCATGTCTCCACTGTTTAGCTATGTAAACAGTAAGGATTAGCTCCTAACCTAAATCGAATTAGGTCCGTCCTTAAACTAAATGTATTCAACTCGATATAACTCAGTAAAATAAAAAAAAAATCTAATTTTTTTTTAATATTGTGTTTTATTTGAAAAACTAATGTTTAACATGATTTAATGACACTATATAATTACATTGGAAGAAGATCATATGAAAACACAGTATTTACAGAATTTGACTGCAATCTCAATTTTGTTCTTAATGATATTTTATCTTATGTTGTTACATGCTTAGGAAATTATAAAAACTGTAGTTCGTCTCTAACCTAAATGCATTGAACTGGATATGACTCAGTAACATAAAAAAAAAATCTAAATTTTTTTCTCAATATTGTGTTTTATTTGAAAACTAATATTTAACATGATTCAATGACACTATATAATTACATTGGAAGGAGATCATATGAAAACGCAGTATTTATAGAATTTGACTGCAATCCCAATTTTGTTCTTAATGATATTTTATCTTATGTTGTTACATGCTTAGGAAATTATAAAAACTGTAGTTCGTCTCTAACCTAAATGCATTGAACTGGATATGACTCAGTAACATAAAAAAAAAATCTAAATTTTTTTCTCAATATTGTGTTTTATTTGAAAACTAATATTTAACATGATTCAATGACACTATATAATTACATTTGAAAGAGATCATATGAAAATGCAACATTTACAGAATTTGATCGCAATCCCAATTTTATTCCTGATGATATTTTATATTATGTTGTTGCATGCTCAGGAAACTATAGAAACTGTAATCCTTATTGAATAGATTTCATACATGATGAAATTGAACATAGTTTAATCTAACAATAAAAATATTTTATATAAAATATTGTTTATTTTAATAGTAGTAGTTAAATTGTTACTATTTCAATTAAAAATTATCAATATTAATATATATTTTTTAATTATTTTATAACCTCAATTTGAAAAGAATTTTTTAATCAAACACATTAAATTATTTTTTGTTCAATCTCAATTTCAACTATAGTCTTAACCAAATATATATTTTTCTAAACCAACCTCATCTAAAAATATTTTTTATAAAATAATTTTTTTAAAATTATAATTATAATCATAATTGTAATAGCTATCACAATACGAAATATGCTATATAGGCTTTGAATTTAACTTCCTTTTCTTGGCGGACAAAGCTTCTTCATCTATTACGGTGATAAGTGAACTAATGAGATTCTTGTATTGATCCATGCTTGCTTCCCCTTCGTTAATTACCTTTTGATTTAGATTTTTTATGGTGTGCTTTATGATTTTCAAACCTTTTCACTTTTAAGTAGTTAAATAATTTATTACTTTGAGTTATGGGCCTTGAAGTCCAGAGGATGTCTCGATTATGAATAGTTTACACATATGTATGGTATCGGCAGGTGGATATATACTGTATAATCAAATGCTTCTACGAACATGGCCAATTCAGCTTCTAACAAAATGTCTGCTTAGAAATTTGGTAAATGTTATTTTTAAAAATATTTTTTATTTATAAATATATTAAAATAATATTTGTTTTTAACATCATCAGGGCTTCCTAAACCAAAGTCATGTGAATAAATGTTGATTAGGTCAATATTTTGTTCTGAACAAACACGCAAAAATGAACGAGGCTTCTCCAGGAAGCTGCAGATGGGTGCGAGTGTGTAAAGAGAAACAGCTGCCTTGAATCCTTTGCCATAAACAAACATGAGACACAGTCAAGAACTATGCCTGCATCTGGCCAACCCAACAGCAATCAGAATCACAGTAATATGTTCCTCTATTAATGCAGAATCAATATCTCTATCAATAAACAAGAGATTTATCAAATACATCTGAGAATTAGTAATACGAAGAAACAGATAACCTACCGCTATAATCTAAAATAGGACTCCCAGGAGAGAAGAAACAATGAAAGAACAAAAGGGGTCCTACAATTTTGTCTTATACTTGCACTTTCGATCCCCAATAGTGCTATTAGAAACAAAAATAACAAGATCACAGCTAGTGGTGGAAGTGAATTGTACTTTAAAAAGATTGAAAATGCTTACTTTTCCAGAAATCTTGGTCCAAGTATTAAAGGGAATAGCACCAGCCATGGCGTCAGAAAAAAGCTGTGAATCAGACAACAACCGATCTGCCACAAGCGTAAGAGTTACGTTCATGGGTTGTGTTGAGTCTGCTGAAATCTTACCTGCAGGGATCGGAACTTCACCAACAACTTGACCTCTATAATTCAAGAAAGCAGAGCTGTCCTTGTACTTGGCACTCACTTTGTTTGGATTCTTGATTGAGAGATCCACGTCAAGACTCACGTTCACATGCACACTTAGCCTGGCTATATCTAAAGAAACCTTCAGGTCACTTATGGAGGTGGAATCCACGGTGGTTGTCGTTTGTTTGGGCTTGAACACCGTTAATCCCAAGATCAGCAAGACCAGAGAGATGACGAGTATCACTGCAGCTGTCACCCCTAAACAAACGTTTCTGCGTTTGTGTTTCTTCGGAGATTCAGGTATCATTGCAGTAGCTTTTGATGATTCCACATCCATCTTTTGTTTTTCCTTTCTAAATTTCCCCTTTTGTTTCCATGTGCTTTGGGTTTGTAATTACAGGGGTGGGTATGCCGTATTTATAGTTTCAACAGGTTAATTTTTTTAAAAAAAAATGGCGAAATGAGTTGTTTGTTTGTTTATTATTGTTGTTATTATTATTATTTTTGTATATTTTGGTTTTGTTTTATATAGCAAAATGGCTAAAATAATAGTTAAAAAAAATAAATCAAAAGGGATTTGATGGATGCATAGTTTGACTCCATTTTGTGGAGTTTTTGTATGTTCATAGTTTCTATATTAAATCAACCTCATGGTTGGTTATGAATTTAGCATGAAGGGGCATGATTAAAAAAAATAAAAAATTCTCTTGAGTTTTTTCTTTATATATATATATATATATATATATATATCTTGAATTAAATTAAAAAGGAGAGTGTAAAACCCGATTTGAGAATATGATCCAAGGAGAGTAAAATCAAAGGAGAGAGAGTCTAGATAATAGATGCTATCAGCGGTGCCCGGTACTAATACAAAGCGCGTGAGAATTTTTGCAGAGGGCGTGTTAGGTGAGAGAGAGAGAGAGAGAGAGTATACTCTGCCACAAACACGCACTCTTAAATGATGGTGTTAAGTGCTGGTGGTTAGGCAGGAGTTGAAGACCACATTGGCAGCCAAGCTCTATGCTATAAATGCTTAGCGGTAGAGTGGCGCGGATTCTGGATTAGGCTAACGGGGTTATGTTAATCCATTCTTTGATTACGATTTGGAGCCGAATAATTAATTACACAGAGACAAACATTGCTGTAAGTTTACCTTCCTAAGCAGGGAAAAAACAAAAGTTGTAGCTAGCTGTTCTTATCAGACTTTATAGAATATGGTATCCGTCAATATAAATAAGTTAAATGTAAACTTATAAATAAGTTAAATGTAAACTCCCAATCAATAATTTTTACGGGGCTTGTAAAATCTAACGGAAAATCTTATTGTGTTAATGGAATAATGAGAAAATAAAAATAAAAGTAAATAGTTGGGATGATATTTTTAATTATTAAATATTTACTTTTTTCATTAAAGATAAAAAGGTGATAAAGTTTCAGGTTATAACACCCCGTGAAAATTTCACAATGTAGGTGGTGAGATATTGAAAAATTTAGCTTGTAAACCTCGGTATAAATTTAGAATAAAAATTGATAAGATCTTGACAAATAAAAACTAAAGATAAAAATAAAAATAAATAAATATAATATTTAGTGGAGGAGATTATCTTCATAAATAAATTTAAAAGTGTTGTTAAAGTTGAAATAATAAATATAATTGCAAAAGTATTAACAAGTTTCGGTGGATAAAAGAATTTGATAAATTTAAAATAAAAATGTTTTGAGACTGGAAAAATAATTTTGATGAATTATGATTCTAAACCGTAAATAAATATATTTATAGATTTATTTTTGTGAATTATGAGAAGTTATTTATAGTATTTATATCATAGCTAGTTAATGTTTATTTAATATGTATAACATGATTTTTAAACTTTAATGTAAATTTTCCTTATCAGCCGATTGTTTTTATAATGTTGAGTTTAACATCAATGCTGATATGATATGTGAAAAAATTCATGGAGATTATGTTGGGATAATGAAATATGTTTCAAGAAGGTTGGATCAAGAATTGTAAAATGGTTTTGGAAATATTTATGTTTATGTCGATAATTTGATACTATAATTAAGTATAGTAAAACTTTGTTAAATATTTGATAAGATAATGAGGATTGAAATATAGTACTCAAGTTAATTGTGTGTGTGTCTATACACACACACACACAATTGTGTATGTATTAAAAGAAAATCCTTGATTTTCAATAATCTAAAATGTTAATTTATGTTTAAAATAGTCATAATTACATTAAAAAAAAAAGGTAAAGTAAAATTTGTACTTGAAAGGTAGCACGAAGACACCAACAAGGGCGATGAACTACAGTAATCAAGGGTGTTGAAGGTGTCAACAACCGTGGTGAATGATGAGTTTCGATCTATTAGTAGATACTATAGTTTTACCAAAGTCTGTATCCATTTTCTGGTCTTGATTTATTCCTTTTTTTCTTAAAGAGACTGGTTCTGCAGTTTGGACAATGAATTATGAGGCAGAGAGGGGATCTAGTTGGTGACAGGAAGAATGAAGAAGGGGATGGCTAATGGTTGGTGATGATGTTTTCATAGAACAGAGAAGGAATAAATTAGATTTTGATTGATTAAGTTTCTCTTGAATAACAAATTTAGAGTTATTACACTTTTATAATCTAAAATTATGGATTTTACAGATTAACCTTATTGAAACATATCAATTCAATATATTATATTCTCAATATTTTATTTTTAAAAATACCATTTAATACATCACGTAGAGGAGTCATGTATATATTATATGCAACGCATGGTAAGAAGTGGGGTCTTCCTCCGTCTTCTTTCTCATTCCCCAATCTTTCCTCATGTCGTTGATGTTATTATTACAGTGAGAAAGAAAAGAGACAGAGAGAGAGATCAATTTCTATTTCTTCCATCATTACTACTATTGTTGTTGTGAATACTCGTTCTCTAGGGTTTGGTGTTCCACTTCAGAAGCAAGATACTGAAGGCGGAGGAGAAAGAGACCTAGCTGGCTAGCCTATTAGTTTCTGTAAATTAGGGTTTTAATAGTATTCTTCTTATTATTAATAAAATCAATTCAAATTTGCAACGAAGAGAGGTTGGTAAAACTGTTGCGAATTTGAATCTCTCTGTGCGTACTTGCGCGCGCGTGGAAAAATAAAAATAAAGAAAGAGAAGATGATGGAAGGGAGGAGGATATCAGCAGCGAATCCAAGGCCGTGCTCAGGGAGAAGGATATTAGCAGCGAAGAAACGGGGTCGTTCTGATGGGTTCTTAAACAGTGTTAAAAAGCTTCAAAGAAGAGAGATTTCTTCTAAACCAGATCGTTCTTTCAGCATCACCAATGCCCAAGAGAGATTTCGCAATATGCGTTTGATGGTATTAGTCTTTTTATTATTCAATTAATTTTTCTCTTTTTGGGATTTATTTTACAATTTAATTTCCTTTTCCTTTTCAATTGAGCTTAAATTTATTTTTCTTAGTTTGCTGATGAAAATGGTTGGCAGATCGTTTTTAGGGTTCTTAGTTAATATTGCTAGTGCTACTACTTTGGTATGTACTATGGACATGTAGGAGATGAGGGGGGAAAAAAGAGAAAAAGAAGAAGCTCTTTCGGCTTTGGATTTTCTTTTATTTATTGATTTATTTTTCTCCTAAAAGAAATGAAAACCCATAGAATAACAATGACATCAATTTTTGAAAACCCTAGTGAGCAAATAGCTGATTCATGTTGTTTTCTACTTAATCATCCTCTACCTATGGGTCTGACTGATGTGAATTTTTGCGGTAAATACTTTATATATTATACCGAATTCTTTGATGGATAGGCCGATTCATCATTTCTCAGGCATACAAAGCAAGTTGTAAATGATAAAATGTGATATAACATCTTGTAGCCTTATTTTAACATCAAAAGGGATGTGCATGACAAACCCCTTTGTAGCCTTCTTCTTTTCTTTTTTAATACTTGGAATGGTGATTGTAGTAGCATGTTCAGTGTTTCCTTTTTCCAAGAAGGATTTTAAATGTTTGATTTATTTATTCTTCCTCAGGAAGAATACGATACTCATGATCCGAAGAGCCATTGTTCAGTGGTGCTACCTTTTTTGATGAAGAGAACAAAAGTTATTGAGATTGTTGCCGCACAAGACATCATCTTTGCTCTTGCACATTCTGGTGTGTGTGCTGCTTTTAGTAGAGGTAGTGACAGACATAGCTCTGATATGAGAAAGAAGTTTTGATCTTTATTTTTAAGAAATTCATTTGCATTTGAGATCTTTTTTTATTGCTAAAGACTATGATTGCATCAAACCTGACCTCCTGACTGTTAAAATGCAGTGACAAATCATAGGATATGTTTTTTGAATGCGAGTCCTGATGAAGTCATTCGAAGCTTGTTCTACAATAAAAACAATGATTCACTCATCACTGTTTCGGTCTATGCATCAGACAACTTCAGCTCCTTGAAATGCAGATCAACAAGAATTGAGTGTGTCTACACTTCTCCTATTTTTCACTCTTCTTTGTCAACTTCAAGCCTTACATAATCCATGTATCCTGATTGTGTGATGGATGCCTTGTATTTAAATGGTTAGGTACATTCGAAGGGGTAATCCAGATGCAGGTTTTGCTCTGTTTGAGTCTGAATCCTTGAAGTGGCCTGGTTTTGTAGAGTTTGATGATGTCAATGGAAAGGTGCTAACATACTCAGCACAAGATAGGTACCTTTCCAGTTGATCTGCTATGAGATCACCAAATGTGTGCTCCAATTATCACTCCTAACTTCTTTTTTTACTGTTATTTATTGTCAGTATATACAAGGTTTTTGACCTAAAAAACTACACTATGCTGTACTCTATATCAGATAAAGATGTACAAGAAATCAAGATCAGGTACTCTCTCTCTCTCTCTCTCATTGCATGCACACATGCTCAAGACACGTCATTACCTTATTAATTATAATATGCTGTTATTATGATGGAAGCCTTTTCCTTTGAGCATTTTGTTAGTGTGGATGCATGACAATAGAATATACTCATCATGGCAATCAATTTGTATGGTCATTCACTTAACTTTCACATATAATACTATGCATCTTGTCTACCTTTACTTCTGAAATGTGACCAGCATGCTGGTTCTTGATTTGTTTGTTCTGCTTCATAAGTGCCTTCGAAGTTTGCTTATGTCTAGCTTCTTCTGCATCAGTCCAGGCATCATGTTATTGATTTTGAATAGATCAAGCAGCTATGTTCCTCTTAAGATTTTGTCAATAGAAGATGGCACAATTCTCAAAGATTTCCATCATCTGCTTCATCGAAATAAGAAGGTGGACTTCATCGAGCAATTTAATGAAAAGCTTCTTGTCAAGCAGGAAAATGAGAATCTCCAGATTCTTGATGTGAGTTATCTGTCTTTTTTCAGCGTCTATCTTTCAGCTTGGCTTGTTGTCTGCTCCAGTAATTGTATCTTCCTTCTTCAGGTTAGACATACCGGTATTAGGGAAGTTAGCAGAACTGAGTTCTTGACACCATCAGCATTTATCTTCCTGTACGAAAACCAGTTGTTCTTAACATTCAGAAATAGAACTGTTGCTGTTTGGAATTTTCGTGGAGAGCTTGTTACGTCATTCGAGGATCATCTCTTATGGCATCCTGACTGTAACACAAATAACATATACATAACAAGTGACCAGGATCTTATCATTTCATATTGCAAGGCTGAATCTGATGACCAGTGGACGGAAGGAAATGGTAATTTTTTCATCAACCTTCTGGTTAGCAAATACTAACTAATGCTTAAATACTTATGGCTGATGCTGGCTGAGGCCTAGAATCCTGCTAAGTAGAACTTTGCATGTTTTACCTCTTAAGAGCTTTGTTCTCTTCTCTTGGAGAAAAAACCGATCTTAGTTTTTTAGAATTCAATTACTAAACATAAAACCGAACATATTATACTGGAGTTTTCCCAAAGAACATTTATGTTTATAATTGTTCAATTTTAAGCAGATAGTTTTTTACAGTTTATCTTTGTCAATTCTAGCTGTAATGCCTCTTAACAGCTAGAATGCTGTCAGATACTTTCAGGTTGTCCACAGAAATAAAACGTGTTCTGAAACAGTGGTGGGCCTAAACATTTCAAGCGAGTTTACAATAATTTAGAATTCCATGTGAATTCTGTGCTTCAGTTTGTGTTAATTAAATAAGCTGCTTAGAACTAATCCAAGAGATTATGCAAAATTTTATCATCTATAGTGACTAACTTTGTTTGAGTTGGGGCTTTGGCTAACTGTAATGAAGTGACTTTTCTGAACCGCTGTCTTGTTTCCAACCATTCAATTTACTTTGTTATTTCAGACACTGTTTTGAGTGACTTTGATGCTTTAACCAGTCCATATTAACTATGGAATTTAATTGACTTGGTTAAGAGTTAGATCTGATATCATCAAGAGCTCTGATATACTCTGAAGAACAAATCCTGATCTTAAATGCATGTATAGATGGCACGATGCTGTATCAACTTTTGATTTTTGGACGAGATGAAAACATTGTTGGCAAGATGAACAAATAATTGTGAAGAATTTGGAACACTTGTGTTCCTGACACCTGAATGCAAATATTTTGGTCTGTGGTGTCCATGAGGACAACCTAAGCGGTCTGCCTATGCCCTTTGATGGTGTTTCTGCATGAACTGCTTTTGTGGAAAGGCCAATAAGCTGTTGGACCTTTGTTAGTTTAAGATCTTTTGGCAGTTACCTTAATTGTGATGCTGTGAAGAGAACACCTGACTGGGCAATTATCAAATCTCACTGTCTGATTCTTGACTCAGCTGGTTCTATCAATATCAGCAATATCCTGACAGGAAAATGCCTAGCTAAAATAAATGCCACCAATGGCAGTCCCAAGGATGAGGAGTGCTGCAGCAGTACGGGAAGCTCAAAGCAGAGCTGCTCTCTGATGAAAAGCACAGTTGCAGAGGCTTTGGAAGACATCACTGCCCTTTTCTACGATGAAGATCGCAATGAAATCTACACCGGTAATAGGCATGGACTGGTTCATGTGTGGTCAAACTAAAGATAAGTTTTTCATTATTTTGATTTAGGAACATGGAAACTGCAAGTATAGGATGTTGTCATGACTGCGCTGCATATCTTTAGTGCACTGTATCATTAGATTGCATCAGAATTATTGATTCTGTAGATATACTTGGATTGTCATATAGCAGTTTGTACATTAGTAAACAGGCTACTTGGTTGAGATTCAGAGGTTAAAATGTCCGGACAAGAATTTTTTGTAACATTCATTTGTATTTGCTGAGTAAACAAAATGTTTGCTTGTTAATTATCAGTTTCCGCTCCTGATGCTGGTAATACAGGGACGGTTGGCATTGAATGAGAAAAACTTATGATGGTTATATTGATGCGAAGAATATCTTGTTACTAGGGGTAAAGTTTTTGCTATATGTGGGATGGCTGGTCGCAATTTTGTTGCTGTTCTTGGTAACCTCGCAACGTAGTTCCTTAACTTGTTAGAACCAAACCAAAGGAGTGGCCATCTTTTTGATATCTCTGGCATTCTTCATTCCGAAAAAACCATCTAAAGCCCAATAACTGGGTGATGAGAAGGATGTTCAGGGAAGAGAGGAGTGGTAGTTTGCAATGGCAGGGCCAGAGAGGTTTGAGGAGGGGCGAGGCAGGAGGGGGGAGACGTAGTTTTTTTTAAAAAAATTGCCATCAAAACTGTTGGTTTGCATTCCCAAGTAAAAATTAGAACTGTATTGCTGCTGCTGCGGTACATTCATTATCCTTTGGTAATTCAATTGTATAATTTTAATTACAATTACATTACAATTAAAAATAAAATGAAATGCCTTGGGTTATCAAAAATGTTTTTTTTTTTCCCGTTGACATGGCATGTAAAATCACAAATAGTAAATATCAATATAGCACAATTTCTGGTTTTATTCATTTGAGTTTGATCAATTTGAGCTCTAAAAGCTATCCGAAGTCGCTAACTATAGAAGTATTTTGTATGATCAAGAAAAAGCTACCGGCTGATAACCATAATATCCAGAAACCATCATATGTTATAACTACTACTTCCGGTCTTAGAATTAATTGTAAAACAAAGACTTATCTTTATACTAAGATAAGGATCCGTGAAAATCTTAAGAATTGATAGCATAAAATTACCCTTAAAGCATACTGGAATTAAACTCTATTAATTTGTGTTTCTTATTCGGTGTTCAATTGATGACTACAATGAAGTCAAGCAATCATACGTTATCAAACTTTAGTAAGTATTATATAATATCACTGTTATTGATGACATTGACATGAAAGAAAAAAAGAAACAAAATGGAAAGGAAAGCAGCAAGACAAGAAATGAGAATAACTAGAATTATTAATGACTATCAAAAAATTACATGATAACCGACAACATATATATAACAACGACAAGAAATTGTCAAGTCATGTGATGTGAATGGTGGTAGTATGTGCTTTGAGATTTAAAAGCTCTAAAGAATGGTTACCACAGCAGGTCTTACTTTTTGCATAAGCACCCAACCCCTGGTCTCAGGTTCAAGAGCTTGGGTTCACTAGCTAGCAAGGCCAGGGAAGGTTGAGTTTGTCAACGTTTAATTGATATTAATGGACTTTCGTTTTTTAAATGAATTGTCTCCAAGCCTTTGCCGATATTCCAACCCTCTGGGGGTAGTGCCTACCCACGATGTCCATAAGGTGGTGGTGCTCATTTAACTACTCTCAAAAGAAGAAGAAGAAGAAGAGACAGGGCTGCATGATGCCTTGGAAGATTGTTATTTATTATTAAATGATTTTGTGAACGTGGGTAAACATTAAATGGAAAGAAGTCCAATCAGAGATAAATGTATTAATTGAAAGAAGAAAGTTGCCTAATTTAGTGGATCGCATTTTGCCTTCGCCAGCAGATAGGCAGCAGGTGGCATTGTCATCACAGAGTAGAAACAAAATGGATGGAGCTGCTTCTTCGCCCCAAATATGTCTCTAACTCTTGCGCTTCTTTAGCCAACTGTCTGTCATCCATGAAGATGAGAATCTCTCTTTTCATGTGCTTTATTATCAACAATGACGGGATAGTTAGTTTTTGCTCACTTCTTTCCATCCTCGTAATTGCCTAGATAATATAGATTGTGTTGGAGGCGAATGTTAGTTGATAGAAGGAGGGAGAAGGGAGGGAAGGAAGAAAGGGCTGGAATGAATGGATTGGAAGAGCTTATACTCAGGCTGTTGGAAGCAAGGAGTAATAGAGGGAAACGCATCCAGCTGACTGAACCTGAAATACGCCAACTCTGTGTCACCGCCAAGCAAGTCTTTCTTGCACAACCTGTTCTTCTTGAATTAGAAGCTCCCATCAATATCTGTGGTGCGTACATTTTCTTATTACTACAGCCCATTTCACCTTTTTATGCAATGTATCAATTTGCTTGCCCTTTTCATAATTACATGCTTCATTTTGTTCCATCTTTATAATTAACTGTATTTGTAATTCTTATGATCTTCCATTTCAATCTTTCATGTACATTACATAGATGTAAGGTTATCTCATAGAAATAAGACAACGTATAGCAAATTGACCTGCAAATGCCAGCCGTTTGGACTCCCAGAATCACATGCCAATATTCCTGCAATGCATTTTGTTATTAGTGTTTTGGTTGTACGCAGGTGATATACATGGCCAATATCCAGATCTCTTGCGATTGTTTGAGTATGGTGGGTTTCCACCAGATTCCAATTATCTATTTCTTGGAGACTATGTAGATAGAGGAAAACAAAGTATAGAGACTATATGCCTTCTCCTAGCCTACAAGATCAAGTTCCCAGACAACTTTTTCCTTCTTCGAGGGAACCATGAGTGTGCTTCTATCAACAGAATATATGGATTTTATGATGAGTGCAAGCGTCGTTTCAGTGTCCGTCTATGGAAGATTTTCACAGACTGCTTCAATTGTTTACCGGTGGCTGCAGTTGTCGATGACAAAATCCTATGCATGCATGGTGGACTCTCACCAGAAATGGATAACTTGGATCAGATCAGAGCTATAGAAAGGCCAGCAGATGTGCCAGACCAGGGTATTCTGTGTGACCTCCTTTGGGCAGATCCTGATAGAAACATCAATGGCTGGGGTGATAATGATAGGGGTGTCTCCTACACCTTTGGAGCCGATAAGGTCGCTGAGTTCTTAAAGAAACATGACCTCGATCTCATATGCCGAGCTCACCAGGTCTTGCTATTTCTTCAGTTCAAGTTGTTGCCTTCCTTTCCGCTCCAATATTTGCACTAGGAATGATGTAATAAATAAGCTAAAATGTTCTTCCATGGGAAATGATTGACAGGTTGTTGAGGATGGCTATGAATTCTTCGCAGACAGACAGCAGGATACCATATTCTCAGCACCAAACTACTGTGGAGAGTTCAACAATGCAGGTGCATTTATGTGGGTTGATGCGAGTTTGCTCTGCTCGTTTCAGATTCTGAAGCCATGGAGAGGTAGAGAAGAGCATCCTGAATAGTTCGCAAGTGAAGGTGGGGAAATGTCAGAAGCCCAACGAAGGAGGAGATATCTATCATCATCCACTACAGACTTTCTGGCCAGTACTATGCCTCTACTCTCATTGTACAGATTCAGCTTCAAAATGAAACAAACTTTGGCGTCCTCCCATGAGTAATATCCATGCTGACTGCGTCACTAGCTATCAAATAGAAATGTACATAAAATCTCCTCCATGCGACTGCTTCATACTGCGTCCTGCATGTATGGATCTTCTTGAGTTTGCCGGCGAGGGCACCAACCCTAAGATACATAGTTCGCATCCATATTCGATAGTAGAAAATGGATAATAACTTAAACCGTCACTCTTTTTTTTTTTTTTAAGAAGTTAGATACATCCAAACCTATGTTGTTTCGTTTTATTTCGGCTTTATTATTGGGTTTTTTTTCTTCTATATATATATTTTACTTAATGGACTGTAAAACCATCCCTTTAATTCTAAATCTCTATGTTTTCCATTACTGGCAAAAACAACCACAAATCCCCATGTTTAAGCCTTCCTTAAATCCTTCCTCTTAATTCTAAATCTTTTCTATGTTTCGCGTTACAAACCAAAATCTCAATTGCCCAGACCAACCTAGCAGTCACCACTGAAAACCTAACACCACTTGTTAACCAACCAGCCAAGCCAGCTATGCATCTACCACCAACCTAACCTTATTATTATTATTTTGAAAAAAAAAAAAAAAGAGGCTGGTTGGACTAGTAGAGAAGAAGATAAAGTGTAAAGCTAAGATATTTCAACACTAAGATCTTTTTAATCTTTGATTTCTAAAAGAAAAAACACTTTGTATTTCTTGAAAAAAAACCATCCAGTGAGCTTGAGTAAATTATGCATTTCTTTGTATGAGAGATAAGATAAACTTTGTGATTACAGGTGATTTTTTGTTAGAAAAGAAAACATGAAGAGAGAAAGGTCATGAGATTTTTTTGTGGAGAGAGAGTTAAGCGAGTCTTCTCCCCAAAAGAGAGTGACTTGTTAAGGAAAGGAGTGTGAAAAACGAAGTATCCTTCTGAACCAATAAAAAAGTCGCAGATGAGTAGTGGTATACCTTCAAAGTGTTATAAATAATCAGATCAAATAATTATGTCATCAACCTACTACTAAATTTAATATTAGTTCTACTTATAATATAAAGGGCTTGGTTATATATAAATGATAGCAACCTATCCCTCTCTTCTTTCTCCCTCTCTGTTTTTTATTTCTTCAAATCTGATTGTCCTGCATAATTCATAACCTGCTGGTTACATTTTTGGCGCAGATCTATCCAATTATGCTGCCAGGAGATGATATTGTATTCGATATTCTCTTTTTAAATTTCTTTTGTCATTGTAAGTTCCTTCCAAGAGGTGTAGAATGCATGAATGCCCGTTGTATTTCAAACACCTCCTTCCAGCAATGAACATTTGATTATTATATAAAACATGGAAAGAAGCTCGAACATATGAAAATGAATCGCCATTCACATATACCAGTGAACGCTCTACACTTGATTGTTCGTAGCGACCAGCTACTTAAGAGGGGCACAACGTGATTTCTTACAGAACAGTTCTAAATCATCTTGATCAGCAGTTAACCAGGGATCAATTTCATTCTTAAAACAAATGAAATTTTGCAAACTTGGCATGCCATAGAGATTTTTAACATAAATTGCAAACATCATATGCGTGATGACAAAGTTCAAATGTTACATCACCGAGAGGATGAACCAAACATCTTTTAAGAAAAGCTTCACCACGGGGAAGCTCTCCTATAAAATGCATGATGGAAGCAGAAAGCTACAGCTCCCAAAATCTTATAGCCGGGTAGAAAGCTACAGCTCCCAAAATCTTATAGCCAGGTAATCAACTTCAGAATTGAGACTTGTCAAGGCTGTCGAAATAGGGATGATCCATGGCTGCTTTGGCGGATATCCTTTCAGCTGGATCATACTTGAGCATCTTCTGCATTATCCAAAACAAAATTATATAAGCAATCCAATATAGAGGTAATAATGGCAAACCAAGGAGAAGCAAAATGTTAGCGCGAGCATGACGATGAAATGACAACATAAGCCAATTGTGAACAAAATCTAAACTAGTATAATCCTTAACACGCTGTAGCCCGCCGAGTCCTAATTGTTTTGCTTTACTGTAAACCATACTTTGATAATTATGAAACATAAAACTGACTTCATCCATGCCCTAAATTCAGGAAGAAAAAAAAAAACCCTACTCGACGGTAGATATTCCAAGTCTTTGGATTGGGGAACTAGTTCAAGCACAGCAAACTAGACATGCAAAATCACAATTGCCTATAAACCAATTAAAAAAACGAAGCATGAGAATCAGGGCGAAAACAATTCCAGTGCAGAAGATATGGTGAGTGACACGTTAACAGTCAATTCAACCCAACAAGACAATCTAGATTTTTTGTTGCGCTTTCCCATCCATAGAACTAGAAGCTTACAGCTGAAAAAGAAATGTAGCAGTAATAGTTACCGATAAGAGGTCCACCCCTTGAGGGTCCAGTGACGGGACAACTCGTGCAAGGTTTTGAGGCTCCCATTTCGGATAGACATGCCAATCTCTGAGAGCAGTAACTCCTGGCCACTGCTCTTCAGTCGGTGTTCCCAGCAGCCTTCCAATTAAGTGGTAGAAATTAGCATACATAACTTCTAGAATCCAATTAATTAATACACTAAATACGATGTGGTGTTGGTTTGGTTGGAAAGTTACATCAGCCATTCTTTTTATCCATAAATAAAAAGCGCAATATTGAATACCTGAAAATATGAAGCAACTGTTGAAACTCTGAGTCACCGGGAAACAGAGCTTGCCTTCTTGACATTTCAGCTGCAACAACAAAGACAAATACTTTCAAGGAATACCAAAGAAAAAATTAAAAATTAAAAAGTTGATATTAGATTAGATTAGTAATAGTACCGAAGATGCAACCGACGGACCACATATCGACGCCAGTGGAATAATGAGTGGAACCAAGCAACACCTCGGGAGCCCTGTACCAAAGAGTAACAATCTCGTGGGTGTAACTCTTAAGAGGCACAGTAAAAGCACGACCTAATCCCAAATCAGCAATCTTAAGAATCCCTTTCTCCTGATCAAGAAGCAGATTCTGAGGCTTAAGATCGCGGTGAAGCACACCGTGGCTGTGACAGTGAGCAACTCCCTTGCAAAGCTGGAAGAGAAAACTCTGTATCAGCGAAGGCGAGAGAGGCCTAGGGTTGGCACCTTTGCGGTGAGAATCGATGAATTTCTTGAGATCCGTGTCGAGATATTCGAAAACCAAGTAGAGATTGGATTTGTTGTTGTTGTTGTTGTGGTTGCGCTTAGAGGGATTGGAATCATCAAGATTGGAGTTGGTGCTATTGGCGTCAACGTGTTCGACGGAGAGGAGGCGGACAACGTAGAGAGATTGAGAGAGCATTTGAAGGAGAGAAACCTCGCGAAGAGCGGTAGGAGGAACGCCTTCTTCGTCCATTTCAAGTCGTGTTTTCTTGAGGGCGACTATTTGCCCTGTTACTTTGTCTTTGGCTTTGTACACTTTGCCGTATGTGCCTTCGCCTACCTTCTCCAGTTTCTCATACTTCTCCATTTTTTTTTATCTTTTCTGTTGATGATCCGATCCGATCCGATCTGCAGGGGAGGGGAGGGCAGAGGAGGGAGCAAAACCTAGATAGGATAGAATGAGTTCTTCGGACTAACAACGGTTATTTCCCTCTGTTTGTTTTAGGGAATCGGAATGAGAAACTTGTGTGCTTTAGTTTGAAATTCAAATTTGGAAGAAAAGGAGGGAGGCTGGGCTGGTTGGTTGGTTGTACCAGATCCAATCCAACGGATCGGAGCGTCTCTCCATATCGGTGGAGGTCCAACATGGTAATTATACACCCACCCACCTCTCTAGGCTCTCCTTTTTCTTTTGAATTTTTTTATATTTTTATATTCTCATTGTTGATTTAATAATTGATAAACAAAAGCAAGAAAATTAATTACCTTTCTTGCCACTTGGGACCCATTTCGAGGTGGAGTTTCCATGTCCAAACCATTTTCTCAATTAACCCCCAATTACAACGTTTAGATGTTGTTTTTTTTATCTTTATGATTTTTGAGAAATTGTACTTTATATCTTATAGTTTTTAAGTTATATGATACTTTGTATAAGCATATAAAAAGTTAACAAGAAAGTTAGAATTATTTACCAAATTGTTTTTTATTTCAATTAATAAATAAAAATTATATCATGTTCAAATTATGAATTTCTTGCTCATTCTTTTTATGACAAACATAAAATCCTAGTTGTATCATTTTTCACCATACTTATTGGAATTTAATTACTCAAATCAATAAAATTTTAAATCATCAATATTAATTTATAAATTTATTGTTGTTAAACAACGAGGAAGTTGTGGTCATATTTGTTATGTTAATGGTTATAACAAACAAATTTTGAGACATGAAGATCATAATTTTTGAAGTAGTAATTCCCCCACTATATTTGTTGAAAGATTAAGGTAATATACATTCAGGATAGAATAAAGCTTTAAATTTATAGACAGCAACTTTTATAAATTTTTAAGAATTTTTGTTTTGTTTCTAATAAAAATAAATAGAGAGTTTGTAGAGAAAAAATAAAGTGAGAAGAAGATTAATTTCTAATGACTTTCTGTTAATATGTCTTTTTTTGATAAATATTATAAACAAATGACTTTGAAGTAATTATTTTTTTTTATGGATTTTAAAAGTGTATATTATATGCTATCATGAGATTTGTAAAAACACTAAAAAAAAATCTAAATTAATTGTTATTGGTTATAGAACCCTAATTGAGAAGAGAAAGAAGAGAAGGACGGGAAAGAGATTGGGAAAAGAAATTGACATGGCATGTGTATTCGTGTTATATTATATGTGAAAGTAAATTTATATTTTTATATTATTTTAATTTTTGAGTTGATCAATGATATAAAGTGTTATTTTTAAAATTATAAAGACAAAGTGAAAACATAATGTAATTTTTTCTTTTTTTCTTCTTAACGCTTTATTTATTACAAGGGTTTAATGAGCTTAAAGTTTATTTGGATAAAATAAGCCTAAAATAACCTGACAAATTGAAATAGCCCACTCAAATTGTGAGTCTCTCTTTTCTTACAAATTCTTCATTGACTTCAGCATGAACTTTAAACAACCAACATGAGCCTTTTATGGATTCATGTCAGTATCTATGTCTATGACCTGATTGATAAGAAACCATGCATAAAAAATACAATAACCTCACATACTCAATATACAATCATACAAGATTATCGATAATATACTACATGTAATGTGATTTTTTTTTAAAAAAA